GAGAGAGAAGAAGGGGGCCGAATTCATTCTTACATCAGAACCTATTTCTGTGAAGATGACTAACCCACTCCTGAGATAATTGCATTAACCTATTCTCTCATGACCTAATCACCTCATAAAGGTCCCATCTCTCAACACTGTTGCATTGAGGATTATGTTTCCAATAAATGAAATTTGGGAGACATATTCAAACTACAAAATGATGTTTTAAATTGCTATTATAAACAGTATTTAAAAATTTAAACTATACTTTTCAGAATAGTTTTACAGAAAAATTGAAAAGCTAGTTTAGATAGTTCCTATAAACTACTTATCCATTTCCCCATATTATTATTATTATTGTTGAGACAGAGTCTTACTATGTTGCCCTTGGCAAAGTGCCGTGGCATCACCACTCACAGCAACCTCAAACTCTTGGGCTTAAGCAATTCTCTTGCCTCAGCCCCCAGGTAGCTGGGACTACAGGGTCCAGCCACAATGCCGGCTATTTTTTATTGCAGTTGTCATTGCTGTTTAGCTGGCCCAGGCTGGATTCAAACCCTCCAGCCTCAGTGTATGTGGCTGGCACCATAACCACTGTGCTACAGGCACCAAGCCCATTTCCCCATATATTAATAGTCATATTTGTTACAATTAATGAACCAAAAAGAAAAACAATTAATGAACCAATACTGATATATTGACATTATTTTTTTAATTAATGAATTAATTTATTTTTATTTTTTATTTTTTATTTTTTTTGAAACAGAGTTCTACCCTGTGCCCTGCACAGAGTATAGTGGTGTTGTAACTCACTGCAACCTCAGACTCTGACTGTGGGCATCGTGCTGCCTCAGCCTCCAAGGCTGCTGGGATTACAGGTGCTCACCTGGCACCCAGCTGGGTTTTACCACTTTTTTCATGAGTCAGGGTCTCACTCTGGCTCAGACAAGCCTCAAACTCTTGAGCTCGAGCAATCCTCCCACCGCAGCCTCCCACAATGCTGGAATTACAGGCAAGAGCCACCGAGCCTGGCTTTTTAATTTATTTTATTTTTTTGAGACAGAGTCTCACTTTCTTGCCCTTGGTAGAGTTGCTGTGGCATTGTAGCTCACTGCAACCTCAAACTTAAGCAATTCTCTCGCCTTGGCCTCCCAAGCAGCTGGGACTACAGGCACCTGCCACAACACCTGGCTATTTTTTAGAAATGGGGTCTTGCTCTGGCTCAAGCTGGTCTCAAACTGGTGAGCTCAAGCAATCTACCTGCCTTGGCCTCCCAAATTCTGGGATTACAGGTGTGAGCCACTGTGCCTGGCCCTATGAGCATTGTTTTAAAAATTTTATTTTCTAATTCTTTGCTGCTCAGATTCTTAAGTCTCTATAGTTTCTCTATTTTTCTTCACCTCTCTGCAATTTTTTTCCTAAAGAAAACAGGTTTTTTGCCCTGTAGATTTTTCCACAGTTTGGATTTTGCTGGTTGCATCCATAGGTATTAACTGGCATTTTCCTCTGCCCCTTTTACTTCCTATAAATTGGTAGTTACTGTGTTTCTCCAAATATAAGACACTGTCTTATATTTATTTTTTCTCAAGAAGACACACTAGGGCTTATTTTCAGGGGATGTCTTCCTCTCCGTGCCAAAATGCATGGCTAGGATCTATCACTAGGTCTTATTATCAGGGTAGGGCTTATATTTAACAAATGCATAGAAATCCTGCTAGGACTTATTTTTTGGGTAGGTCTTATGTTGGGGGAAACACGGTAGATGTAAAAACCTTATCTGATTCAGGGTCTTTTTTTCCAGAAAAGTACTTCATTGATGGTATTATGTACTTCTATCAGGAGATACATAATGTTTGGTGTCTCTCTTTTTGTGATGTTAGCAGCCATTGATGCTCAAAGCCCAGATTCATTGTTCCATTAGGAAGTACAAAGAATGATACTCTCTTTTCTTCTTCATTATTAGCTCAACTTCTGCCATAAAGACATACTTCCCACTGTAAATGATTTGGTTGTCCTGAGGTACATATAACATAGAAAAGGCAGAGTAAGAACTTTCTTTTAATTATCAGTTTTAATTCATATCAGTGGTTACTCAGCATCTTCAAAAGCAATAAGTGAATTAAGAAAAATCACTATAACAAAATGGATTTAAACATAGTTGATGTTTTCAATCCATTGTAGTCAATATTCTCATGGATATAAACTGATATTGATATGTCCCATTTTGACATATGACATATGATATTTTTTAATAGCAACCCTAAGAGCCTAATGCAGGAGCCAATTAGGTTCTTAGGGTTGCTATTAAAAAATACAACAAATTTGTTGGTTTAAAAGAATAGAAGTTTATTCTCTCACAGTTCTGGAGGCTAGAAGTCTGAAATCAAAGTGTTGGCAGGGTTGCTCTCTTCTGGAGGTTCTGAGACTGTTCCATGCCTCTCTTCTAGCTGCTGGTGTTTGCTGGACAATTTCTGGCGTTCCTTGGCTAGTAGATGCATTGTCACTCTCATCTCTGCCTCTACTTCTACATGAAATTCTTCCCTTTGTCTTTGTGTATTAAATCTCTTCCTCTTCTAAGAACAACAGCCATTAGATAAGGGCCCATCCTAAGTCCAGGCTGATCTTATTTTGAGATAATTACATTGGCAAAGACCACATTTCCGAGTAAGGTCACATTTGTAAGTAATAGGGCCTAGGACTTGAACTTATTAGGGAGAGGGCACAATTAAACTCACTACAGTTTCTGAGTCTTTTGAGATGACACTAATGTTTCTGGCATTTTTCTTGGGTTTTGTATGACACAGTCTTCATTTTATGACCCACTGTAATTAGTTATGTCTATAGGAATTTCTAGTTCTTTTTAGTGAAAAGTGGTATTTAGAGATCATGATATAGGTGCTAAGAATGCATTTACTTTCATAATCAGTAAAAAAAAAATTCTTTAAATAAAAGTATCCATTCATACTTAAAGAATTTCTGAAGAATCTGTTCTAGAAAAATAATGCAAACTAGCCAGGTGCGGCAGCTCACGCCTATAATCCTAGCATTCTGGGAGGCCGAGGAGGGTAGACTGCTTGAGCTCACAAGTTCAAAACCAGCCTGAGCAAAAGTGAGACCCCATCTCTACTAAAAATAGAAAAACTGAGGCAAGAGGATCACTTGAGCCTGAGTTGGAGGTTGGAGGTTGCTGTGAGCTGTGACGCCACAGCATTCTACCCAGGGTAACAGCTTAAGACTGTCTCAAAAAATAAAAAAATATAATGCAAATCATTTAAGATGCTATATTCAGAACAACATTCTCTGTAAGATTATATATATAAAGCAGAATTTGAAGCAGCATAAACAATTATTAGAGATATTACTATATAATTTATGATATAGCCCCTTAATGGGATATTATATGGCCATAGACAATGGCTTAATGACAACATTTAGCAACAGGAAAAATGCTAACACTACAACACTAATAACAATAAAAGGATATATAAGGGAACAAAGATTACAATATATAGAACTATGTTTATGAAAAATGATTGAAAAACAATTCCCTAAATTTCTAATATGATTATCTGAGAGGGATGAGATTAAGATTGATTATTTTTTTTACTGTGGTTATTTTACTTTTAAAATGCTATATTTGTATGTAAGTTTATCTTTCTGCACACACACAGAGTAGGCAAACACATTTCTTTATCAAAGAACACTGGGACTCCTGCCTTGGAGGTACACACAGATACCGCTATCCAGTCCTAGGAGTGCTTGGGGCTGACCAGATAGCTGCCTCTGACTCCAAGGCCAAACTTTCACAGGTTGTTCCCTGTATAACTCAATGTGACCAGATGCCCAAAGAGAGTATGCTACTGTCTCTGCCTCTGGCTGGCTTACCCTCAGCTGTGGAGCTTCTGTGGGCATATTTCCTATTCGGCCTCTTATGTTCTCACTCTGGCGCAAAAAAGGTCCAAGGTATATTGTCTCAACTATCATTTATGATTGTCTTCCTATGATCTATTTAATAAATATGTGCAAATAATAAATACAAAGAGGGTATAAGAACAAATTCTTTCCCTCTTGGCCTTAGGTGACTCCCAGACCAAATGTGAAAAGGAACTTTTAATCCTACGTCTAAGGGTAAATAGAAAGTTATTCTCGGTCTTCCTTCTGCTAAATCAGTCTGCTGTTGCTGAACTACCGCCATTTAGAGGGCTCTAATAAAGGCATCATCCTTTCCTGCTTCCCAGCTCCTGAACGTCAGCATCACACACAATGGTTATTTGTTCGGGCAGATTAAGAATGCTACATAAATAGGAAACACATAGGCTACTAAAGTGGCTGAGGTCTGTAATCCTAGCACTCTGTGAACCCTAGGCGGTGGACTGCTTGAGCTCAGGAGCTTAAGACCAGCCTGTGCAAGAGTAAGATCCTGTCTCTACTAAAAATAGAAAAAATTAGCCAGGTGTTGTGGCAGATTCCTACAGTCCCAGCTACTTGGGAGGCTGAGGCAGGAGAATCACTAGAACCCAGGAGTTTGAGGTTGGTGTCAGCTATGATGCCACAGCACTCTAGCCTAGGGCAACTGAGTGAGACTCTGTCAAAAAAAAAAAAAAAATAGGAAGCACATAAAAACCCAAAAGATTTTGCTTTGCTATAGTAACACATCTGAGAATGGAATAAGTGCCAATGACTCACTACCATCAAAGGCTGGGCCCTAGTATCACCAAGTTTGTTACCTATTCTCTCATATGGGAGACAGTGTTACTGACCTACTTTCCAGAGGTCATCCCTTCTGAGTGGCTTACACAACTCCAGGGAGGAGACTAGTCATGCTTTTTTGCCCCATCTCCTTTCAAACAGGCCTGGGCAATCTTCTGGCTAGACAGTGAGTCTTCCTCTGTGGAAGGCCAACTGGTTTACCCAAGGTTATAGGTGGCCTGGTTAGGCTCATACTCTTACTTACTGAGCTACGTGGCCCAGATAGCTCAGGAAAAGCAGGTGGTGTGTGGGCAGCCAGGATGGCTCACCTGCTGGGTGGTGGCCAGACAGTACTCTGCCGTGCTCAGGATGCTGCAGATGAGGCAGAGTTCCTCCAGGGTGAACTTGGCCGCTTCTGAGCCCTCCTTTTCCTTGAGGAGGCTGCTGATGGTCAGCCCTCCACTGCTGGTTGTGGTTCTAAGGAACAGGAACAGGAACTAGTCAGACTAGCACTTCTAATTTGCTTCCTGAACTGGAAACTGCACATTTGAAGACAAAGAAAACGGGGAAGGAAAGGCTGGACAAAGCCCAAATAAAACCTCATACAATGAGGTTTTCCTACTGACCTCACCTTGACTATCATCTGTTTAGATTCTCTCACCATCAGAAATAGGAAGAGACAATTCCCAGAGTCAGCCGGTAATTAGTCATGTGAAGGGTGATAACCTGACACCCTCTGGGAAGGCTGCTGGGCCGCCTCTCCCTTCAGCTTGGCATTTCCTGGTATGCAGAACTCATCTAGGGTCAATCACAGCACGGAAGCTGGTTCCACAACCACTATTCTCAGTGAGGAAAAGTCTGCGCAGGAATTTACATGTGACTTGTGGAGGCGGACATTAAGTGAATGTTAAGACACAGCTCCTGCCCAAGGCCCTAATTGCCTCAAGAGACCAAAGAGCATTGCTCGGCCTCCTATGACTATAGTTGTTTGTGTGTGTGTGTGTGTGTGTGTGTGTGTGTGTGTGTGTGTGGGGGGGGGGGGGGTGGCCCTAGCTCCTGAGTGAGTTCTGAGGTAGTTTCATTACCCACTAGTATTTGGATGCTTTAGAATCCTCTCTTGGTTCTTTTCACCTTGCCCCCATTTCTTTGAATAGTTTCTTCAGTGAGAAAATCCCAACTGGGTGTGCCATTGTTTACTGTTGGGACACTTACTAATGTATATGAGAAAATGCCCATAGGATGAGGGTTAGTGAAAGTAGCAGTTATAACATGATAAACAGTACAGTCTAAATTTTATTAAACAAAGGCATGCAAATCATACACATTATACGTATATACATAAAAAAGAAAAAATGGAAAAATACCAAAAAGTCAAAGATGTTTTCCCTAGCTGATGAGACTACATGCAATTTTTATTTTCTTCTTTGTGCTTTTCTGTGTTTTCTAAGCTGTGATAAACTTGGGATTAATCTTGATAAGCAGGACAAAAATTATAAGAAATTTAAAAATAATTTTTATCATAGTCAAAGTAATTCTCATTAGTTAAACATACCTATTACTTCTTACCTCCTGGAGAGCATATCCTATTTCCTCCCCAAAATGAAAAACTCCCACATATGACAGATTTTAGTGGTAGTGACAAAAATTAATTCTAGAATTGTTAAATTAAGTCCTGGGGATGATTTGTAAATACTAAATTTAGAAGCATTACTTCAGGTCCTATTCTACTACAGTTGAAATTGCTATATAACCAAGACGTCTCTAAAATCCTAGTTGAGCGACCCTCTTATTTTAAGTAATAAGCAATATAACAATATTCTAATGTCCCAGAATAACACAGTAGAGTCACCATAAATAAGAGCTGTGCTGTGCAACATCCCCTCCCCAAATCCTACCACATCTTTAAACATTAGGCTCTGTCCAGCATAGCAAGACACACATACCACAAGAGAGACTTTGGAACTTAACCAGACTGAGGGAGGAACAGGTTCATTCCTCAGATGTAGTATCTAATTACCATTCCAGGGCACAATCTCATTGAATGAGGGTTGAATGAGATTGCTTATGCTATTTAATAGTTATTTCCACTATGACCTCACTTTTTTTTTTGGCCAAATAGCTATAGCTGAATCCATGTCGATGAGACACACCTATAACAGAAGTCTACCACAGTACGATCTGACCTACAGTGGCAGCCAGAGTGGGCATTTCCTCCAATGGTCTTCATCAGCTGTGGAATGTCGTTAGAGAGGAAATGGTTTTGGACCCTTGGGAACTCAGTAAGAGAGCTTTCCTCCCTGATACTCTTAGTAGTTCAACAAACAACTGCAGAATGGATTTCCTTAAAGATTCCCATATTTAGGGATATTTGGATCTTACTTCACCACTCAGACCATGAAGAACAGGACTCACTTGGGCAGGTTGCCAGAGAGGATTTTCCAGGCGTATTCTCGGAGGTACTTCTGGAAGATGGTGGTCAGGGCGATCATTGGCTCCCCGGTACTGAGTTGAGAGCACTGCACCATGCACTTCTTGTAGTAGACAAAGAGGTCGGCACAGCTCGGGAGCACAGCACCCCCTTCATCAGTGTTGGGCTTAGGTGGCCCCTGGGCTTTGAAATCAGCCACAAACCGATCTATCAGCTCTCCAAGGTTCCTGGGAAAAAGAAAACCTGAAATGTTATTTCATGACAAGAAAGATAAAGCAAACGTGGTTTTACAAATGTACATAGATTACTGGCATGAATAATCATTCCTTACACTTTTAAAATTTAAAATTGGATCCATTTTTATCAAGGTCATCATTCGTCCCCACCACTACTCCTATAATAACAACAGCAATAAAATTTGCCATTTGTGTGTTGCTTTACAAATTTTTATTTTATTTATTTATTTATTTATTTTGAGACAGAGCCTCAAGCTGTCCCCCTGGGTAGAATGCCGTGGCATTACAGCTCACAAATTTTTAAGGTACTTCATTATCACATTTGACTCAAGCCCCTCTGAGCAAGATAGGGCATTACTGGCCCCTCTAAAAGGTGGGAAAATTAAGTGCTAGAAAGTTTGTCACACAATTTAGTGGCAGAGCTGAGCCTAGACTCCACCATTAAAGTATGTATACTGGCCCTACTACCATATTAATGCCATTTCCCCTTTGTACAAAAGAAATAATAATGGTGATCATTTTATGAGCACTTATGATGTACTGGGCATTATGCCAGTGTTTTATAACCATCATCCTATTGAACTTCATTTACTTTTTCATAATAATTTTTCAAAGTAGGTACTAACTACTATCCTCATTTTCAAAGAATTAAATTCTTTATTTAAAGAAAAGTAGCAAGAAAGCAGGGGAGCCAGGATTCAAAGCCAACCAGCCTAGCTCTAAACTTCATGTTTTTAACCACTGCACTTCCTAAAACACAGAAAGTTTATGAAGTCAGCAAATATTTAGATATCACCAGCCTAACTGTGTCCAAGAAATAAATGCCTAAACAAAGAAAGACTATAAAAACTATTCTAATTCTTTTCCTTCTCCTTTAATGTAGTTTTTCCCTTAGAATGTCCAGAATCAAAGGTTATAAAGAAGTCTTAGAAAAAGAGAGGGTATGAACAGTTCCAGGCTTGTCCCAGGACACAGTGGAGAGGATGGTCACAGTTTTTTTTTTCCCCATTTCCCATTCAAACACTCTTCAATTTGTCTCAGTCATAATGAGTTGCCACTAGTTAGAATCCAGCAGGGCTACAGTAATTGTTCTTTGCACAGCTGTGCTATGTGAAAAATCGGAGGGATCCCCACTGCCCCTATCATTCTGTACCTTTTTAGGTTGTTATTTAAGACTACAGGAATCCAGCTGTGTTTTTAAAATGTATTTATATAATAGGAAGAAAAAGATGAAAACCACAGACACCATTAATTAGCAGGAATAGGGGAAAATTGACATTCTGCTCAAGAGCTTTTGAAAGTTTATTATATCCAGATGCAGGCACTCTACCCTCAAAGAACTTCAGGCCTAGGCTGGGTCTGTGTCTGGGTCTGTGTTGATAGTCAGAAAGCAGGGAAGGATCTCATTAGCTGACCTTGGGAAGCTTCACAGTCACCACCCCAAGCTCCATGCTCCTTGCTTTAGTTTTCCATCAAATCTCCAGGCTCTCCCCCACAGCTGACCCCACACTCCAACCAGAGTCCCTCTCCAAGGCTCCCTGCTTTACCTTCTCCTGGCCGTCACCTATGTGCCTCCCTGGTCAACATGCTCTCCTCTCCCACCACCTCTCCACTCATCTTTCAAGCTCAGCTCATCTCACCTATATAACCTTGACTCACCCCTAGCCTGCCCCCCAGCTGGGACTTCTATCATCTGTTACTCCTTGATACTTTATTTTTTTTTAAGACTTTACTATGCAATGTCAGGGTGTAATGTACTCAAAAAACATGCCAACCTTCTCCCATCCTGGCAGGCCTAATTAATGATGGCCCTCTTTTCACTGATCTTTCTCGTAGTGCCAGAATCCTTCCTGAGACAGTGCTCCAGCCAGTCACCTCTAATGAGCTGAAGTTTACAAACGTAAAAGGACACTCTTCTGTTGCAGGTATGTTATCGTCGGCTCTCTGAGGGTGGGAATGATGTTTCTGTTACTTTTGCTGCCCCTGGCCCACCCCTCATGCTTATGTCGGGGGCTAATCTTCATACTGGTGCTCCATTCATATTTAGCTGATCAATCTCCATTCTTTGCTCCTAAGGAATAAGAATGGAAGCTTGGGAAGGCAGACATGGGATAGGGGCTGGTACAGTAGAGAACGCGTAACAGAAGGCAAAGACTCTACTAGTCTTCTTATGAGAGATTCTAATCTCCAAAACAATAGTGCCAACCAAAACAGGGCCTAGAGCTCTGAAGTGTTACTTTAATTACTCATCTATTCCCCTAGAAGATGGATACTTCCTTCCTATAACAGAGCCAACCCAATGAGTAAGATCATAAATTAAAAATTACAACCACAGAGCATAAAGAAAAATTCCACTTCAAAAAACTTGAAAGATCTACATTTTGCAGAATGTTTATCGGGTGGGTTTTTACATTGTCTTCTGGTGTGGATGAGAACTAAACCAGCCAGGGAAACCTTCCTTCCCCTTCCATCTTCCACACTGCATCAGCATGCTTCACTGCCATAGAATTCACTCGGAAATAAGTTGTCAATGTTTCACAGGATAGAAGAGTACAAGTTACCCCAGTGGGAATGGGAAAGGTTCATTAGTTCTGGATAGATGATACAATCCAAACGAACAGTGATCGAGCATTTACCGTGTGGAAGGCTCAGTGGGATCTAAGTAAAACACATAAATGAATTCAATTGAAAAAAAAAAAGGTTATCGTTTCTTCCAGACATTAAACACTACCCTGAGTTTTGACAAGATCTTCTTACATGACTACTGGAGGAAGGTGTGCATGGCACAATGACCTGACTGGAATCACAAGTCCCTTCTATGCCCTCAAGCAAGTACAATCGAGTATTTATAACAGGTCAAGTTCCCATCTAGGTGACGCAGGGATTAAGACACCTCTACCCATTAGAAGCTTTCCACCTATTTGGGGAGATTGCTTTTATTTTTTTATTTTTTTTTTTTTTGAGACAGAGCCTCAAGCTGTCCCCCTGGGCAGAGTGCCGTGGCATCACAGCTCACAGCGACCTCCAACTCCTGGGCTCAAGCGAGTCTCCTGCCTCCGCCTCCCAAGTAGCTGGGACCACAGGCGCCCGCCACAACAACACCCGGCTATTTTTTGGTTGCAGCCGTCATTGTTGTTTGGCGGGTCTGGGCTGGGGACTCGAACCCGCCACCTTAGGTGTACGTGGCTGGCGCCTTAGCCGGTTGAGCTATAGGCGCCGAGCCGGGAGATTGCTTTTAATACAATTTGAAATTAGTATAAAGATAGCTATAGATGTATGTGCGGTGTATACACACGAATGTTTACACATATAATACTTCTTAGTTTCCTCTGCCAGAGAACCTGAAAGCAATAACACCTGAGCCGCAATGCGTAGACCCAATATCCAGAACTTGGTTTCTTTTCTTTTCTTTTCTTTTTTAAAGACAGTCTCTGTCACCTGGATAGAGTACCCTGGCATCTTAGCTTGCTGCAACCTCAAACTCTTGGGCTCAGGTGGTCCTCTTGCCTTAGCCTCCCAAGTTGCTGGGTCTACCCTTGCCCTCATAATGCCCAGTTCATTTTTAGAAGAGACAGGCTGGTCTTGAACTCCTAAGCGCAGGCAACCCACCCACCTCGGCCTCCCAGAGTGCTGGGATTATAGGTGTGAGCCACTGTGCCCAACAGAAACTTGGTTTCTAAACATTATTGTTGACCATAGGAATAAGGAGTCCTCGGGAAAACAGAAAACTCCAAGGCTGAGGTATGAAAGAGCGAGATAAGCCTGGTGCATTTTGTTTTGCCAGAGAGGAAGCAAGTGCTCAAGAAAGAGCATGTGAAAAAGGTGAAGAGCCATCTTGAAGTGGGCTCACTTGATTTGGTCCCACTGGCCACATCAAGGACAATGTGAGCATAAAAATAAATAATGATGGATCCTGGAAGAAGAAAAGGATATTAATGGAAAAACTGGTGAAATTCAATGGTCTGGAGATGAGTAAATAATGTTCCAACATTAACTTGCTAGTTATAGTAACTCTTCTGTGGTCACACAAAATGTTAACATTAGAGGAAATTGGGTGACAGAAACATGAGAAATTTGTACTATTTGTGAAATTTTTCTGTAGATATAAATTTGTTCCAAGATAAAGGAAAAAGATAATAATGCTTATACCTATTGTATCCATGAGTCTATGCTGATATACATGTATACACACATACACACATACAGAGTATACACATTTTAAGAGAGGAAAAAACTTCATTAAAACTATACTACTTGGCTGGGTGCAGTGGCTCATGCCTGTAATCCTACTGCTCTAGAAGGCTGAGGCAGGAGGATCGTGTGAGCTCAGGAGTTTGAGACCCTATCTCTACTAAAAATAGGAAAATTAGCTGGGTGTTGTGGTAGACATCTGTAGTTCCAGCCACTGGGAAGGCTGAAGCAGGAGGATCACTTGAACCCAGGAGTTTGAGGTTGATGTGAGCTAGGTTGATAAAGAGCTAGGCACTTTATCAGGGTGATGAAATAAGACTCTATTTCAAATTTAAAAAAGTTTAATACTCAAAAATGTACTAACCAAAAAAGATGAATACAAGTCACCTTTGAGTACCTCTTATAATTGTAGAAGTCAAACATGACTTGAGTACTAAAATTTTAATACAGTTTTTTTTCTTTTCTTTCTTTCTTTTTTTTTTTGAGACAGAATCTTATTATGTCACCCTTGGTAGAGTGCCATGGTGTCACAGCTCACAGCAACCTGAAATTCTTGGGCTTAAGCGATTCTATTGCCTCAGCCTCCCAAGTAGCTGGGACTACAGGCACCTGCTACAACGCCTGGCTATTTTTTTGTTGTTGTTGCAATTGTCATTGTTGTTTAGCAGGCCTGGGCTGGGTTTGAACCCACCAGCCCTGGTATATGTGGCTAGTGCCCTAACCACTGACTCTACAGGCGCTGAGCCAGTTTTTTCCTTTCTTAAAATATGTACACATTTTTCTGGCATCGTGTGTGTATG